AACCGATATTCAGGCTTTTCTTGGAATAGCTGGTTACTATCGTAAGTACATCCCTAGATATTTCGACATTGCCAGCACTCTTACTGACGCGTTGCGCAAGATCGAGCCCCAAATGGTCGACTGGGATGAGGAGAAAGAAAAGGCTTTCCGCGTTTTGAAAGCGGCCTTGTCGAGCCAACCTTTGCTTAGTTCACCGGGCTACTCGAGGCCTTTCATAGTCCAATGCGACGCTAGTGATAGAGGCATGGGGGCAGTTCTTAGTCAAAGGGATGAGGGGGATCAAGAGCATCCCGTCCTCTATGTTAGCCGGAAACTCACCCTTCGCGAGCAGGTTTACAGCGCTAGCGAAAAGGAATGTGCGTGCTTGGTTTGGGCAGTCCAGAAACTGGCTTGTTATATTGCCGCAAGCAAGTTCATTGTGGAAGTGGACCACTGTCCTCTCACCTGGCTACAGACCATGTCCTCTAAGAACGGCCGCCTGCTGCGTTGGAGCCTCGTTTTGCAACAATATACGTTTGAAATACGCTACAAAAAGGGTGTACTCCATGGCAACGCTGATGGCTTAAGTCGATGCCCCTGACGCGAGAGGATGTCTCGAGAACTCTGGCATTTTTTTTCCTGACCTAGACAAGAGCTAGTGATTGTTTTTTTACTCTTTTAGGTGTACTTGTTTGAAAACGTTGAAGACACGGCTATCCAGGGTTTCGGGTTCGGTGTGCTTCCAGTGTTGTTGTTTTGTGTCACCTTAAAGTGTGAGTAACATTTTGAATAAATTGTGTATTTCCTTTAATATCAGTTAAAGGGGAAAATAGCCTGGTGGAGTTTGGCGGAATTGTCCGGCGCTCACCGGCTGAGTAGTTGTGTTTTCATGTGCGTATGTGATGTCTGTTGAGCCCACAATGAAGCAGGTGTTGCCCTCTACTTCATCAAAGACGGTCGTCACCAAACCGACTGCCGGCGCTGATCTCTCCGGACAGTGGCTGCAAACCTCAGCCCATCGAGATCTTCACCCCCCCGGCGCGAGAGAGTGTTACGACCGGCCCTGGGGAGCCAAGCAGGAAGAGTTTGGGGGAGAACCGGTTCTTGACCGACGGTGTCGTCCACCCCCACCTCCCCATTCGGGTTCCTCCTCTCGCCGGGACAGCTCCGGGGTCTGCTGTGCGTTCGTGACCATGTTTGGTAACATTTTAGGGCGCCGTGACCATATATGGACCTCGTGTTAGGTTGTGCCACTCCATGTGTTGTGAGGTGTGTTTCCCCCTCTCTCGTGGCCGAGGTGCCGGAGACACCGTATTGGTTGACGATGCGGACGGGGCGCCCAGTGTCAACGGCGCGCCGCTATAAAATGCCGAAGACGTTTTGTATCACACTCACTCTTCTCTCTTTGGGTCAGTTGACCACTTCTCCGCATGTAAATAAATCTCTGTTGTTCGTTCGGGCGCTTCTTCTCGCTGAATTGTTGGACGATGGATTCTGCGACGGGGCCAGCTACCGAAAACGAGACCGGCAGGACCCGGAGTCCCAACACCGTCTATAATTACCGACAAATCAGAAGCGACGTTACCATTTCCGCACGTAGTCTCGTGTCCGTCATCACATTTTGAAATCGGCACTGGAGGTTGTTTTCTTGCGTCGGCAGCGGCCTTACCTCCCCAGGTCGCCGATTCTAGTTTTCCCGAAGCGGGCTTTGGGGAAGTCGCCTCGGAGAGTTTGAAGATGGGCGCGGACTTGGTGACCGATACCTCAGTGGCGCTGTCGACCGAGACTGATGCTGCTGCGAGGAGTGAGCCCCTTGACGCGTTGACAAGTACTCCTCGATTTCAAAAGGTCGCTCCCCATTCCGTGGACAGGCAGCGTTTACGGGAAAACCCCGAAGTCCAGCTCGGCGATATGCACACATCCGGTAAAGATGGCCAGCTTCGCCGCAGTGATAACAAAGCGGAATTCGATCAGGAGTGCGCCATATATCAGCTTTTCGGATCCTAGTCTCGGCTGGGGATGGCTTAAATCGAGGTTTCGGCAGATGCGTGCTTGCTGCGGCGAAATAAGGTCCAGGGGCGGCGAAAGGAGGTCCAGGGGCGACGAAATGAGGTACAGGTGTGTTTCTCAGTACCTCGTCGTACGAGACAGCGGGCTGCATCGGAACTGACGCTTGAACAGGCTGGGCTTGTGGCTGCTGCTCACAGACTGCCTGTCTCACCTCCTCCCGAACAACTTCCCCTAAAGACGAGACCGTTGAGGGGTTGCCGTTTAGCTTCTGGAGCTCTTCTCGAACCACCGATCGAATGAGCTCTCGTAATACGTCGATGCCATTCCCGAAGACTGCTGACACCGCGTCTACGGATGCGACGTTAACATCTCGGTTGTAGTGCCTCGCTCGCTGTTGCAGAGTCTTTTCAACCGCTGTCGCCTCGGTGCGAAATTCAGCGACGTTCCGCGGGGGACATCGGAGCAAACCGGCAAAAATCTCCTGCTTCACCCCACGCATCAGGTGCCGAAGTTTCTTGTCCTCGCTCATATTTTGATCAGACCGGCGGAATAACCGGCACATGTCTTCCACATACATTGCGACGCTTTCATTGTTGCGCTGGTTTCTTGCCTGCAAGGCAGCTTCAGCTCTTTCCTTGCGGTCTGTACTCGGGTATGTGGCCAGTAGCTCCCGTCGGAAATCATCGCACGATCGAATGGTACCTTCATGGTTTTCAAACCACGTTCGTGCGCTGTCCTGCAATGCGAAATAAACTCGGCGGAGCTTCCGTTCTTCGGGCCATCCGTTGCAGTTGGCGACGCGCTCAAAACCCTCCAGCCAATCCTCGGCGTCTTCATGAGGATCGCCATGAAAAGGGTCCGGCGTCCGTGGCTCATCGACAACGACGTGCGTGGCAGCGACTGGAGACGAAACGGCGTGTGCGGCAGCGGTTGGAGACGACATTTCGGTACTCTCACCGGAGACAGCTGGAGACACTCTGGGCTCTAGTGGCAAGGGAAATTCCGGCGGCTCACGACGTAGACGACGGCTGGAGCGCTGATGAACTGGCGTGAGCTCAGTTGGTTCGACTGCTCGTGGTTCCGGGCTGCTTCCTCGAAGTTCAACTGGGTTTGGGATCATTACCCAGCGCCTCCACCAGAATTGTTACGTACAATCCAAATGGTGTACGAATAACTGTTTATTGGGGCGAACTTGTGCCCGAAAAGTAGCGGCGTCTGTAACAGGCGATCAGCAAAAAGGGATCAATCTCCGAGAGAGAAAAAACCCTCGAGCGGTGGTCCACTTCTTTTTCATCAAAATCCCGTGCTGAGGAAGCGCGCGCCGTCACGGCCTTTTCTTGTTTGATCATCAAGCCGCTGATCTCTTGGGGGGGGGGGGCGCGCGAACTAGCGCGCGTAGTTTGAATACTGCGTTCGCCTTGCGTCAATATTTTCAAAATAAACGTCGCGGAAAAACGCTCAATTTCGAATGAATTCCACTTGCCCTTGTCGCGGGCGTGCGCCCCAAGATCTAAGGAGTTATGTACGGCAAGAACTGGTCCTGTTTTCACGTCGCTTATTTACATTGACATTGGTGGGCTGACGTCACATACCGTACGCTCTTCATCAAAACTTCGGTAAATGCTAGCTAAAATTTAAAAAAAAACAGACGAAAAATGTCCCGTATCCTTATTATAGTCTGCGTTTCAAATGGTGCCTCATTAAGAGCGTTGAAGTGACATTACTTTACTTGGCATGTAGAATTTTGTTCTTCTGTTGAGTAGCATGAATAAGGAGTACCTTGGTTTGGGCTAGCTGCTTCATATCATTTGGAAATAGAAGTGCAAAGACGAGGGGAAAAGAAAGACAGCGCTCTTTGTCTCTATGTCTTTCTTATCCCCGCGTCTTTGCACTGCCCCTTCAAGATCAGCATAATGAAAGTCGAGAAAAAATAATGAAACACGCAAACTAAATCTGAGCTTGTTATTATTTTTATTTTCGTTTTTAATAGCCTCGAGATGCTGTTCACTAATCGGCCCTAGTTTCGCATCCGCCATGGTGGGCCATTCGCTGTATAGTGTGCTCCGCTGCTGACTCGAATGGCGCGCGTTCGATTGTGGCCGCGGCGGTCACATCCAGATGGAGGCGAAAAAGTAGCTGCCCGTGTACTGCGTGTAGTCAGTGTACATTAAAGAACACAAGATGGTCAAAATTTGCGGAGACCTCTACTACGGCATCCCTCACATTCACATCGTGGTTTTTTACGTTACTACTACTACTACTACTACTACTACTACTACCACTACTACTACTACCACTACTACTACTACTACTACTACTACTACTACTACTACTACTACTACTACTACTACTACATTTCGCTTGCGTTCGTCTTCTCGTCGTTCCTGCCTCGTGTTTTCGCCAACCCTGACAACGCTTAGCTTAGTAATTGAGTTTGGTGCATCGTCTCTGGCCGCAGTTTCAGCGCAGTGATGCGATGTATTGCGGCCAGAATACAGGATCCTTGCCAGCCTCTCCTAAAGTACACGCACTGACTGCTACATCCCACAAAAACTGGTACTACACAATAGAGAACACCGAAACGACACATCGGTGGCGTACGTGCACAACTATAGGCTGGGGCACGTCATGTGCACGGGATATTGCTTAAGCATGTTGTTCATGGTGCGTATGCGTCGTGTGGTATGCGTCGTGTAGTGGAGGGCTCCGGAAATTTCGACCACCTGGGATTCTATAACGTGCACCCAAATCTGATCACACGGGCCTACAACATTTCCGCCTCCATCGGAAATGCAGCCACCGCAGCCGGGATTCGATCCCGTGACCTCACCTACACTCCCTTATTCCTTTCATTTATCTCTTGGTTGTTGTGGGCATAGAAACATGAATACTTGTAATGGATGCTTGCTGAGATTATTAGTCTCATCCAATTCAACTTGGGGCTTCTTGCAACATCTTTGTCAGCCTTTTTGTCATATTCGAATAACTCACAAAAATAAATGTTCTTACAGCACAATGCAGATGAACAGATGCATACATTTGACTATCGGCCTTTTTGTGGTGGCCCTAAAGCTCCCTTGCCTGGCTGGTCAAGACTGTGAGAAAGAAGCCAAAACTGAAGCGCAAGAGGCAAGTGACTTGATGTACGTTTTTGTATTGCCGATGACTGTGCGTGCGCCACTGTGAATCGGAGTTCATTTACATGACTATTTCGTGGCATTAGAAGTCGAACGACTTGCCGGGCCAGTTGTGATCAACTGCAGCAACTTGTCTTTGGCCGCGTGTCTGCGCAGTGGTACAATGCGTTGTGCTCAGTGATCTCGGTCACTTCCGTCGCGTTACTTGCTTATCGGCACTGCCTAATGTTTCAATTCCGACGTGTATTGAATAAGCGCACATGTTTCACACTGACAGTGCGTTCCTCTCCTCTCTATTTTTTTAGGGGCGAAGCTCCTTAGGGCGTGGGCTGTGCGTCCCCTGTAGCCTGTATGTAGCCACCTCTAGTTTAGTTCTTGCAGTGTTCACTAGATGGCGGTACCGTCCCCTGTATGTAGCCACCTCTAGTTTAGTTCTTGCAGTGTTCACTAGATGGCGGTACCGTCTCCTGTATGTAGCCACCTCTCGTTTAGTTCTTGTAGTGTTTACTAGATGGTGGTACTTGTAGCTGATGATGAAAAGATGCAAGATGTTATAAACTAGAAAGCGGTACTTGTAGTTGATGAAAGACGCGAGATCTTATAAAATAGGAATGATGTCACATATGGCGCGTGTCATTGGTTGAAGGCAATCGTTCGATTTAGTGCGGCGACGTACGCTAGGGGGAGCGATGTAATAAAATCGAGTGGGCAAAATGTACAGAGGATTCATGGTTTACCAGGTTTACCTACGGAGCTTCGCCCACTCATCATCATTCACTTCGTGGATATGGCGGAATTTTTTTCATCTCAGAATCATTTTCCCTTGAAGTAGGGTTTCATAACCCGAAGTGATTCAGGTAGTCCTCCCTTCCTTTATTTCTCATATCTCACTTTCTTGTTTCAGAGTGCTCAAGCCACATTGACAATGACGTTCAGTACCTGTTAAAACAAGATGTCATTGCCTGTAGGGAAACGGGGGTCAGCAAACCTTCACGTGCGTGGGCCTGTCTGCTACTTTATACAGCACAGCTCTAGGCACCCGTTACTACGTGAAGCAGCGTTCGCATCGGCGTCACCGTAAAAGCGAACGAGAGGAGGAAAGAACTTTATTTGGAGTCCGGCGAGTATATGTGGTGGGCGATTGGCCCCGCCTAGGTTACGGCCAGGAGTCCTTGAATCCTGGCGGCTTCCTCAGCCCGCTAGACAGCCCACATTTGGTCTTCGAGGACGGAGCTGAGCATTGCGGCTTCCCAGCGCGCGCGAAGGCTGTCAGCGGAGGCCGCATACTTGTTATGAGTACTAATCCCTCTACATTCCCATAACATATGCTCCAGAGTGGCTCTGGAGTCGCAACGCTTGCACCTGTTCGCTTTGTATATATGAGTATATATAATGTGCAATAGTGCAAGATTCGGATACGTCCTAGTTTGTAACTGCCTCCATTTGACAGACTGTCTTTTCGTTAATTTTGGGTGAGGGGTGGGAATATGCCCCTTCGTAATCTATAATGTTTTGTAATTTCATTGTATCTTGTCATTCTGTCTTCCCACTCCCACTCGTCTGCCGCGCCGTAATCACTGGAGGAGGCTGGGCTGGCACTTGAGAAGGCAGCTCGGTCGGGGAGCCCTCGAGCTGCGTCATGTACACCCCCATTGTAGCTGTCCCCCACGATGGCATGAGCTGGTGTCCATATAATGTATGTATTTCTGGGGCTTGTTCGACACGCTCCTTGTAGAATACGTAGTGCCTCCTGGGAGATGCCGCCGTTAACAAAGTTTCTCACTGCCGTTTGAGAGTCACGGACAATCAAGAGCGAAAAAAATTGGCCCATATCAGCACGTTAATCTGCAAATGTCGTCGAAAGACCATAGTCGCACGTGTGGAAGGAGTGAACAAGACATTTATTTGATGTTCTGCGCGAGAAATCGGTACATGGAATTCTAGAGGCGCTGCGTTAGAGTGCCTCGAGCATGCAGGGGAGGCGAACGAGCACATCAAGTCACGTCACACGTGAGACATGAGCGCCATCTGGCAGTTTTCTTGGAAAACGTAGCGCGGCTCTGAGACAGGCGTGCGCGTCCGTCTCAGAGGTGATAAGGTGTAGAACGCAAGGTGACGGGTAGGTGCCACCACCGTATCGCCTTAGCAAAACGTTGGAAACCCTCGCCTTTTCGTGCAAGCGTTGCATGGCCAGCGCAGCGTGTTAAACGCTACGATACTTGAATTACTTATGTATGCCTTTTCTAGTAAAATACAAGCATACAGAATATATGCGTGTTGTTATTGTGCCTCAGATATGCGCAATAATTGCTTTTACAGACGGTAGTCTTTCTTGGGGACCTTCGATGGAAGAATTTTGATCTGTTTGTCTGTCTGTCTGTGCATTTGTCTGTTTGTCAACTTTTAATGGCACCGGGTACTTCAAACAACTGACCCCATCTGCACCGCCCACCAATGTTGTTCAAGCTTCAGCGTTCATACTTGTGAAATTGTCAATTAAAGAGCAATTATTGCGCATGTATGGGGCACCATAACAACACGTATATACTCTGAATGTGCATCTTTTACTAGAAAAAGCATACATAGGTGATTTTAAGGACCGTAGCGTTTATCACGCTGCGCTGACCATTCAACGCTTGCACGAAAAGGCGAGTGTTTCTAACGCTTTGCTAAGACGAGACGGTGGTGGCACCTACCCATCACCTTGCGTTCTACACCTTATCACCTCTTAGACGGGCGTGCACACCCGTCTCAGAGCCACGCGCTTCGTTTTCCGATAAAACTGCCAAATGACGCTCATGTCTCACGTGTGACGTGACTTGATGTGCTTGTTCGCCTCCGCTGCACGCTCTAGGCACTCTAACGCAGCGCCTCCAGAATGCCATTCACCAATTTGTTTGCGCAGAGCATCAAAGAAATGTTTTGTTCACTCTCTCCATATGCAAGCCTATCGTATTTCAACGAAATTGGCAAATTAACATGCAGATACGGGGTCAATTGACAATCGCACAAGTATGAACGCTGAATCTTGAGCAACATTGATGGGCGCTGCGGATGAGGTCAGCCGTTTGGGATATCGTCTGGTCACTCTCGTGCCTTTTAAAGTATCGTTAAGGGTGGACAAACAGACACACCAAAATTTTTGCGTCTAAGGTCCCCAAGAAAGACTACCCCATGCCTTTCCATATATCGTGTCAATGGCCTCTAATCTCGCTTTCTTCCTCCATCGCGTGCGGATCCAAGGGGGGAGTAACGAGGTGGCACACAGCCTTGCCACGTCGAATACTGGAGTTCTTCCTCGTCATCTCTGACCTTTCATGCGTGCACATCCTGATCTGGGTAGCCTCCTCTACGCAAGCTTGTCACCAAATTCTCACGTTGAAATAGCACGCGTTTGGCTCTTCCTCAAGTACATTACCCGGAAGAGACTCAAAGACGACCCCTTTCTTCCTATACTTCTGAAACTCACCCTGAGCCGATCCCAGGAAACACTCAGTGACAAAGTACTTGCAAACGCACCCACCACCCCTAATATAAATCCTTAATGACAGGCTCTTGCTGACCAGAAGAGGGTAATGAACACCTCTGTCCCCTGCATATGTACCTTTTGCCACTCTTCATGCACGGCCAACATGCATTGCCTCATTCTACACTGTCCACCGATACATTATTATCGACAGAGCAACGCAACTTTTCTAGATACCGATTCGGAAGCGGTTCAAAAGGACATCCTAGAGAACCCTCACCGACTTGCCACATTAGCTCATATTAGAATCAGCAGCTGCTTGGCGCGCGTGATGTAGTGTGTGTCGATCAAGGAGGTTTGAAACTCATTGGTGCCGATCACCCGTTCACTTTTCCTAGTCTCCCCATCGGTGTCCTCAGGTCCTACCTTTCCCTAATAAACACATTCATGTATCAATCTATCTTTCGTCACGTCTCTTGGACCCTCGTCTGGAGCTCGTGAGCATGCAGGACGCGCAGATGCAATGCAGCTGGCTTCGCTTGTCGTAACGAAGCTGTTGCCGTTTCGCTGGGTTCGCGACACCTGCAATGCAGACTGCTGTGTCTGGCGCTCGAGTGCTGGAAGTTTCTGTCGCAATATATTACGTTATTGGAAATGAGGACAGCCACAACTGCAAACACAGGGGCATTGCGCCAGCACGAATCGACGCTAGGAATTCGCACTCGGCAGTATCGTTATCATTGGGGAATTTTAGGGGCGAAGCTCCTCTTTGTCTATCCTTGTCCTGCGTGTGGCGTAACCGAGAGAAGAAGAGACGAGAAAAAAATAGAGGCAGTATATCTCGAACAGTATAATAGACGGCGCAGTCTCATAGAAGTACAAAGAAACTGCAGTGGAGTGGGGATATTCTATATGGCGCTGTACCGCTACTCTCCGATTGGCTGCTACGCAGGTTTCGCTTAGGTGCGTGAAGAAGAAGTGCCTCCCTCAGTCTGCTAGGTAGTCGCCGTACGTGACGGATCATTGGTGAGGAATGAACGAAGTAGAGCGGCAGGCGCGTTGAAGACGATTGCGCTTGGCTTCTTTGGCTGGCGTCTCGTCGGCGTTACCCGCGCGCCGTCTGCATTCTCGAGTGTTATCGGACGCATAAACGCATGCATGAATTGAATAGATGAACACACGGATGGATGGATGGACGCACACAGACAGACGGGCGGACAGACGGACGGACGGATGAATAGATGGACGGGCGGACGGATGGATGGACAGACAGACACACAGACAACATATAGATGGACAGACGCATGTACGAACGCACAGACAGATAGACGGACGGATGGATGGTAGGATGCACGGATGGATGTACGCATGGATGGACGCACGGACGGACACATGGACGGACGCACGCACCAACACATGGACGGACACATGGACGGACAGAAGTATGGACAGACAGACAGACAGACAGACAGACAGACAGACAGACAGACAGACAGACAGACAGACAGACAGACAGACAGACAGAC